GGTGGGAAGTGAGTTCCAATTTTGTATTGCTCTAACAGAGAATGATAACTGACCAAATGTGCTTTTCCTGAATGGGACTAATAAGTCACCACGTGTGATGCTTCTAGTGATCTGACCAGTATTATTGCATTGGTTTATGAATGAATTAAGTGGAGGAGGAGCTAAGTTGTGCAGGATTTTAGACCAGACAGATGTTCCTGTATTTTATTAAATCTTCCCAGCTCAGAAGTTTGTGCTTGTGTAGGATGGTACAATGATGTGAGCTGTTTGGTTTCTGGTCCAAGATTTTAAGGGTTTGCTTGTACAGGGTTTCTAGTGGCTTCAGTGTCGAGGCTTTGGTTTTTCCCCAGCTTGTGAGGCAGTATGTTAGATGCAACATGATCATGGCATTCACATATAATTTGGCAGCATTAAAAGTCATTGTGTTTCTTATGTATTTAAAATTCGCTAAACTAAACCTTTTGACTGACCTTTTTTATGTGTGTTTTAAAAGTTAGATTGGAGTCAATAGTGATTCCCAGATATCTGACCTCTGACACAATAGCAATATTATTACCTGAGATTGTTTAATTCGGCACAATGTTATATTGCCATTTGGAAAAGAATATTCCTACTGTTTTGTTTACATTAAGTTGAAGGCAGGAACAGTTTAGCCATTTAGAGATCTGCTCTAATGCTGAGGTGAGTTTAGCAGCTGCCATCTGCTTTGTCCTGGCATGCACATATATCACGGTGTCATCCGCAAATAACTGGGTTTCCACATCAGGGCAGACAGTTGGCAGGTCATTGATATATAAAGAAAAGAGTAGGGGACCAAGTATTGACCCTTGTGGTACTCCAGTGTACAATTCAAGGGCTGGAGAAAGTTGGTTGTTAACCATAACATGTTGACGTCTACCAGTCAGGTAAGATTCAAACCACCTAAATGCTAATGGGGAAAAGTTGAAAGTGGACAGTTTGGCCAGAAGGACCTTATGGTTGACTGTGTCAAAGGCTTTGCGTAGATCTAAAAACACTGCACCAACAATACCTCCTTTGTCAACCATTGCTCGGACCTTTTCTATGAAAAGGCAGTTGGCTGTTTCTGTGGAATAATTGGCCCTAAAGCCAAACTGCATGTGATGAAGGCTATTATTCTGGCTCAAATAAATTGTTTACCATTTAGCTTTGCTTTCCAAAGCGCGGCCAAAATATCGCAAGAACAAGCAGCAATCTCATACCGTGCCTGAAATCTCGCGAGAACAAGCAGCAACAGCTGGAAGGCAGAACCGGACAGTAGCCTGAAAAGTTCATTCATTTATTTTATGAAAGATTTATAGAATAATGGCAGACTTTTTGCCAGACTTCGACTTTGTGGAGGAGGAATTTGATTTTGTAGAGTCTGATGGCCGCCCTTATTTATTTGAGCAAGAATACACTGATGAAGAGCTTCATGAAATTGAAGAACGGAGGAGGAGAGAGAGAGAGGCGCAACAGGTAGAGGACGAGAGAGGAGGAATGGCTGCTGCAAGGCTGCGTAGCTCTGGAGATTGATGGTGTACCTGTGAATGCTGTGCCCCAATGCCCACAGAAGAGGAATGCCTCTGTTGCAAGGAATGGGACCAGTTGCAGCCTTATTTTCAAGGTCTGGATGTGACCGAGGACGAGACACCTCCACCTGGAGTAGTATCCAGCTGGGCTTAATCTAGAGCTCGCGATATTTCGGCCACGCTTTGGAAAGCAGAGCTAGATGGTAAACAAACATGGCACCACACCCGTAAGGTAAGACAACACGTTTACATGTCGTTTTCTATATGTTATCATCTGACATTTATCCTAACGATATGAGGCGGTCTTTGTGGAAAAAAAGCTTGTTTAGTGGACTAACTTTGCACTTGAAGTATGTCCGTTCACTTATGTTTTAACAGGTCTGACGCTACTATGCGCCCTGGCTGTATCTAGCTAACGGCTAACATGCAAACTATTATTTTTATGTCACTAGTCACTTGAAACAAATTTAGGACGATAGGAGACAGGTTGAAATAAACCGAAATTTCCCTTTAAGCAGCCTAGAAAAACAACTAATATTTCAACTCAACATTTCTCTCCGATATGACATTTTTCCAAAGGATGAAAACTGCAGTCATTAAGGTTAACCAAGAGAAAAGCAATTTGAGTATGTGTTTATTTTCAGTGTTTCAATGTTAAGTAAGCATCTACACATTGTTTTCAGGTAAATCTGGCAAGTGAAAGGTAAGTTTATACCAATCTTTGGTTTTGCAACTCTTGCCTGTACTTCACTTTTTAATTCTAAATCCTTTATCTTTACTGTAATATTACTGAAAAGAACTTCAACTTGCCTCTGTGTATGAAATGAGCATTACATATAAAGTTCCTTTGCTCTGCTTAACCAAAATGGGACAAAAGGTTCTGTGTTGTGCTGTGATCTGGCATACAGTGGCTACATAACAGAATAGCCAGTTATACTATTGTCAGTGCTTTGGCCCTCATTTTGTGTGATACTACACATGCACATGATACCAACAATATCAGATAGTACCTTGGGTGTTCCTTCACGAATGTGCATCCACAGTCGAATGGCTCATCTTCCTGTGTGCATTTCCTTGCACAATCTGTGTGAAGCCAGCCTTTGCAAGTGTGGCACTGCACCCACTCAAGTGACTGGACATCTGGATATAAAAGTCTGACAACATCAAAGACATGTTAAAACTTAATTTTTGAAAGGCACAATAGTCTCAAGTGTCATCCCTTGAAGTGCGCATGTAGTTATATTTTCACAAGAAATGCATATAAAAAGACTGTATATTTCATTTTTAAAAATGACACAACGTTAAAAGGGCATACATTGATTTTCAGATGTAAAAAATGTGCATATGCAAGGTCCTACACACCTTGCCTCCATACATCCTTATGTATAGAATGAAACAGTGCTTTTGAACAAGCCTCTCACCATGCCTTGTCCTCACCCAAAATTAACTATGCAAATTACTATGAATATGCCCCTCTTGTCACTTTGTAAAAAAACAATGCTGACAGTGTCCTTTGAATAACTTTTTTAACCAACCTCATTCCAGTGTTCTCAGACGTCTGGAAAACACAGACCTTTATCAGGTCTGCCATGCATTGTCGCTGTTCGTTAGCCAAGGACCTCTCTGACATGGCTGCCTGTACAAGTGAATATGTTATTTCTACAAACGGTGGTATAAATCTTGGAAAAAACTACAACAAATATAACTCACGAATCAGTATTTAGTTCTCCATCTCTTGATGACTAACCTCCGTGTTCTGCTCACGTTTCCTCTTCAGCCTGTAGACAGGAGAATGTTTCCCTTTGAGAAGCGCCTCACACTCCTTGGTCCAATGGGCAAAGACCTTCCCATAACTATTAAATACAAATACAACAAATATTTAAATATCATGACGGTGAATCAAGTATACTCATGTTAAAATGTGTTTGTTTATATAGTCTTATCACAAGCATCAGAGGACTTCAAAGAGACTGAGCTCACCAGATCGCAACTACTCAGTGTGCAGTAGACACCTGTCAAAATAATGACAGAATCATGTACAACACTGACAGAAGAAAACAGAAAAAATGAAGGGATGATAAGAGTCAGAGGTCTGTGCTAAAGACTTGGGACAGCTGAGCAGCAGGAAAGTATTAGGCCCACACCCACCACTGCCTGGTAGAACATTGCAGTGGAGTCTGAGAAATTGAGAGAAAAGGAACACACACAGAGAAAACAGCTGCACAGAACACGGACATTGAGACACCTCCTAGTGAATTACATTTTTACCTGTTCAAGGGATAGTTCTCCAGCAGCAACAGGCACCACCACCTCCGCAAAACAGGAATGTCATTCTGAAATCATAGTTGGAATAGTTGCTTAGTAAATCACAGAAGATGCATGATGGTGATGGAAGTTAATGGTGAAATCTACTTACTACTGAGTAATCAAACTGGGCATCCAGGACAATGTACAGTGCAGACTGTTAAAAAAAACAAAACAAAACATGTTCAGTTTATACCTTCAGGCTTGTGTCATGTGTACATGAGAAAGGGATCCTTGCTGAAAAATAAACCCACATACACTATACATGACACTGAGAGTGTCAATGGTGTTAAAGTATGCCTTCAACCATGATGAAGCTTGTTATGACCTACCATTAACATGAATATGCCGCAGTCAATACTGAAGTCTTGCTTTGGGAAGCCCTAAATTAAGAAAAGGTGAAAATTAATGCTTTCATAATCGAAATATGACGAAAATTATCCAGATCTTAGGCTGCATATAATTACCTCCAAATCTTTCCCAGTTTTCTCTGTCCATTGACCTGGACATATCCACTGAGCAATATTCCTGTCAATTTCAGAAAATATTATATACATGAATGATAAGAAATGAAAATTAAAAAATTAGCTCTTCTGACCTAACAGCCAATTGCACAACCTAAGCAAATGTAGAGGTCATAGGAAC